CGTTTACGAGTGGAACATTAAAATAATCTCTTTTTTCCTGTCTACCAGGTAACTCCTTGTATGGTGGAGTTAGAAGAAAAGAAGCTGGAGTTGATATTTGCCTCCTAAACAGCATCACAGTCCTTTAGTGCCAATTAACAGCAGAAATTTGCTACAAAAGGAGAATTTAAAAAGTTTTGCTCCTAGTTTATTGTAAATTAGAGGCAAAATGTATTAGGGGAGACATTTTGTTACCATAATTTGTGCTGATTATTGTTTCGGTTGTGGGAGAGTCAGTGAAAACATATTGCAGGTTTTTATGGCTGTTGCTTACATTTTTTATAATTTTTTCAGGAAGATTTGTAGGGGGGACATAACCATGATTTCTCTTTTAATCATGCTTTTCTTTTCGCCTTATTATTAACAACATATTTTGTGAAAACGTATTTCAGGTTGGTTTGTCTGTTGCAGAAGGTTTTTGATAATTTTCCAGGGAGATTTGTAGGAGGAAATTAGGTTTGGGGAGGCTTTTTTTTTTTTCTTTTTCTTTTCTTCTTCTTTTTGATAGCAGAACAGGTAGTAAGAAGTTCCACAGAGAATTAATACTTGCTGAAGAACTTAAAAGGTGCCTTATATAATATTCATTCACGTTGGCCTCTTCCCATGGTGGGAGAACTGATAAGGAAAATATAAATTAACAGTAACAGTGTTGCTATCTCTAAATTGCATCCTAAAGGTACACCATGACAGAGTAGAAATATGCAAATTTGTTCAGGAATTAGTGTTTGGCAGCAGAAATGTGAACTGGAGCAGCTCAGTGTCCTCCAGCTACGCTGGATTAAAATATCCTGCCTCTAATCAGTGTTGCCCGAGTTATCTGAGTACTTTGCAGCCAAAAGGGAGGGGTGTAACTGGCATTTTTTTTTTTTAACATCCCAGCTAATAATTTATACATTAGAGAGAACAGTCTGCTTATTTATGGGTTCTGCTAACCAGCAGGTGTTTGCAAACACTGGAGGGAGCTGGGTGGAGTACAAAAAAACCTGGGTTGAGCCGCTGTTAAACCACTGGAATTCGGTGTGGATGGTGAAAGTCAGATTTGCCAACAGGAACTCAAATATCTACACAGAAGAAAAAGAGGATTTCAGTTTTATGAATTAGGTAGACAGCTGGTGCTAATCACGGGGAGATAATTACAAGAGTTAATTATGTAAGCTGTGATGATTTACTGGGTAAGGACAGTGGCAAATTAGTCAAGTTGATGGAGAAAAGGGAAGAACAGTTATTATCAGAAAAACGAGTTATATTATGGACTGGGCCATGCTCAGCAGAACATCTGTGTTCACACTTTCAGTGGTGTAGTAGGGAAAAAACCCACATTTTTTACGTGGGACTAGAGAATAAGCACAAATATGGGAAAAAACCCCAAGTTAGCTGCTTTTCTGTTTTGTATGTGAAGGAAGAAGTAATTTGTTGAAAGCATTTCCTCCTGTAATGTGGTCAGTAATACCTTGGAGTTGCTTGAGGATCAGCTGATGAACCACTGCTGAGAGCCACATCACAAAGTCAGTCTCTGGTGTGCAGAGCCAGGAATGTATCAGGTTCCACTGGTGTTTGCTCTGCCTCTGGATGGTCAAAATGAAGAAGGTCACAAACATAACAGTGCTCAGGTCTGTTCTCTACCTCATTTTGAGCAGGGAATTGAATCTGGTGCTGGTGCTTTAACCCATAACGCAATCTCCTTCTCTCACAAAGTGCTTTGAAAGGTCTCTCCTTCATCCTGATGCCAAAGGAAACAAAAAAGGCAAACCCAGCCACGAGACAGTTGGGAAAATGAAGTTCTTGTTTTCCAGACAGTTGTAGTGATTTTTCTTTTTCTTTTTTTTCTTTTTTTTTTTTTCTTTGATGTAACAAACTTCCTTTGGAGACAGTATGATTTTGAAAAACTGTGCTCAGGGGGATCCCATTAGTACAAGCAGTGAGGCAATGAGGGAGTGCACTCAAGTGGAAGGGCAGCCTTATATCTCCAAGTGAAAGGGCCCAAACACTAAAATGTCAGGGCTGTCTTTTCTCAGGTCATTGAGTGTTTCCAGCAGCTGGTGATATAGGAGTGCATGAGAAGAGGGGAATAACTTGTAGCTCTTTACACTCAAGAAATGCCACTGGGAAGAACAAATAATATTTACTCAAAAATACAACGTGCCTATGTCAGAATAGTGAATTTTTTTTTTTGTTTTTGCAAATAGTTAATGATATTTCAGAGAAACCCTTTTACGTTGATTTCACCTGCCACAACCAAACCAAAATATTTGTGTGGATGGTTTTCATCATGTGCATGTTTTCAGAGTTTGGTTTGTTAAATACAAATGAACATACAGATGCTGCCCACCCTCAGAGAAACTCCCATAGCTTCTGTCATTGATATTTAAAAACTGTGGAATCACAGAGTGATTTGGGCTGGAAGAGACCCTTAAAGAACATCTGGTCCAGTCCCCATGCCATGTTCAGGGACATGTTTCACTTTGATAAGTTGCTCAGAACCTCACGTTGAGTATGTCCAGTGATGGGGCGTCCACGGCTTTCTGGGCAACATGTTCCAGGGTCTCACCACCCTCATAATCAAAAAAAAAACCCCAATTTCCTTATATCTAATCTAAATATAAATCTCTTTTCGTTTAAAGCCATTCCCCCTTGTCCTGTCCCTCCATGCCTTGTCCCCAGTCCCTCTCCAGCTCTCCTGGAGCCCCTTTAGGCCCTGCCAGGGGCTCTCAGCTCTCCCTGGAGCCTTCTCTTCTCCAGGGGAACCCCCCCCCAGCTCTCCCAGCCTGGCTCCAGAGCAGAGGGGCTCCAGCCCTTGGAAAATGTCTGTGGACTCATTCCAGGAGCTCCAGCCCTTGGAGAATGTCTGTGGACTCATCCCAGGAGCTCCATGTCTTTCTTGTGCTGTTCTCCTCAGAGCTGGATTCAGTGCTCCAGCTCTCACAAGAGAGGACCAGAATCACCTCCCTTGACCTGCTGGCTGGGCTTTTGGTGCCTGCCAGGGTACAGCTTTTGGGTTTCTGGGTTATAAACTCACGTTGCCAGGACATATCTAATTTTTCATCCACCAGTATCCCCAAGCCCTTCTCCAAGGGGCTGCTCTCAATGCTTTTACCACCCAGCCTGTACTGAAAAGATGATAACAAGGCATCTGTCCTTTGTGAGGGATCAGTGAGAAACCACAAGGATTAGCAGTGTAATTAAAAAAGAAAGGCATATTGATATTTTCCTCAAAAATTGTCAATGTATGTATATTTTTTCATGTGGTTATGGAAAATCTTGAGTACCTAATGCTAGTCAAGCACATAATTAGGAAAGAGAAGGCAGGGGGAGAAGAACAACTCTCAAACCTCTGGCCCACCCATTTCAGAAATCCGTAGGGAAGACAGTTTAATTCACAGAGCCAGGAATGTTCTTCTCTGAGCTGGAGCTGCTGACTGGGGATTAATTTGATGAGTGTGTGATTCAGCTCTGTCCCCTTTCACTTCAGGCATCCCTGCCCACACATGACCTCTGCCGTGGGGAAATCCATGCTAATAGAATTTTCTGCTTTTAGCAAAGGCATCCTCACCTTCCTTTTGTGCTGCTGGAGCTGTGTAAGGAAGCCTTAATTCAGGATGGGACTGAACTATTAATTAGTGAAGTTCTGTTTTTCCAACAGAGATCTGTGCTAGGACTGTGTGTGAGGCTTCTTTAATAAAATAAGAGAGCAAGGTTCCCCAGTGTGATCACAAAGCCTGGATCATTATAGGGTTGCCAAATGAGCTTATGGTAATTATCAAGTGATATATTTGATTAGTGTACAGAATTTTGGGTGAGGCCTGCATCAATTAGTTGCAGAAGCTCACAGAGACATTCTGTCCTTTGCACCAGTAGAGGTGGGCTAAGATATTTAAAATAAACCAGTTGGCTTTAAAGCCCTGCCAGAAAATTGAGTTATGCTAATAAGATATTAGTTTTGTTTTGGTTTTTTTTCTTAATTTTTTCATGCAGTTTTTATGAAGCTGTAGGTCATTGACTTTTTAAAAACGGGAAAGTAGCTAACATGCCATGGGTTTTTCTGTCAGTGGTACCAGCAGACTTCCTTTTCCTCCTCATCCTTACAGCGAATGTGTGGCTCAGCACACCAGTACATGACTTCTGGTTTGTGTCCTGGGTAGGGAGAGTTGTATCCCTGAGCACTGTGGATCCACTGCTGGTTTTTCATGCATTTAACACCCGATGGCATCCAGTTCAGTGCTGCTGTTTCACAGAGGGCAGCCTTTCACTGCTGGAGTCCTGCAAAGACTCCTTCTCGCTCCAGCAAAGAGCTGTGGTACCCCCCGTGCTGGGCTGTTAAGCTTTGTGGTTAGAGTTTCTAATCAGTTTACTGACAGCTCAGTGAGGAGTTCCTTTAGGAAGCAGATTTTCCTTCTGCTTAAATCCTGGCAGGATCATGTCACTGTCTGCTGCCTTCTTACCCCAGAATATTAGGAATACAGCAAAGCAACACTTACCCAAAGAGCTTGAACCTGGATAATCTTTGCAGCAGGAGCTCTTCACACCTTGATGGCTGGAAAACAGCCACGATGTTCTTGTCACCACTTCCATGTCCCTGGCGGTGCTTATCTCAAGGGACAGTTGATTTCTGAGTGGTTTCTGACCCCTGCGTGTTCAGTGTCTGTTTTAGCAGCTTATTCATCTCTAAAAAATGAAAAACAGGGGCAAAAACGATGCTTTAGCACCACTGCTTCTTATCTTCTCTTTTTTGCTGCTAGACTGTGATTTGCTCAGCCCAGACTAAAGAGAGGTTGAAGGGAAAACCCTTTTCTGAGGGATGTGCTGCTGGATCTCGTACTTTAAATTTTATTTATCCAATACGTCTGACCACTACAACCCCTTCCAGGGAAGGGAAAACAGTGGTGTTATTGGATCAGGTGATCCTCTCTGTAGCTGGAGAATCGCTCAGACTGACCAAAACTTTGTTTTCTCTTGCCCAAAAGGTGACAACGCTGGTGAACACGAGCAATAAGGGACCGTCTGGCAAAAAGAAAGGGCGCTCTAAGAAGGCCCATGTTTTGGCTGCCTCGGTGGAACAGGCCACTCAGAACTTCTTGGAGAAAGGAGATCAAATTGCTAAGGAGAGCCAGGATCTCAAGGAGGAGCTGGTCGCTGCTGTGGAGGATGTCCGAAAACAAGGTACGTGGGGCAAAAGGCTTGGAGGGAAGAGCAGCTTTGTTTGGGGCTTCTCAAGATTTCTTTTGGAACAGAGGTGTCAGATGCTTTGATAATATAATTAAAATTATGTCCCATATATAAATATATATATATAAACCCTCATGGTATATGAGTATTAAAATACCTATACCTTAATGAATAGGAGCAAGTATAAACAACGTTCTGACTTTGCTAAAACAACATGTTTGTTCTGTTTTTTTGCCTTTTAGCTGTTCTGTCACCACACAGTGACCTCAAATATAACTTAGCAGCCAGGCTGCCCAGTGCCAAAGCTTGTTGTGTCATTTTCAGCTTGGTTTTTAGTCTGCTCTGTGACAAAATGACACGTTTTCTTCACTTGGCTGAATCTGAGCAGTGATTTAAAGCCCGTGGGTGCAAATGTAGAATTAGGATTTTGGCACCCTAACAGTTATCAACCAAATAGTGCACCAGTGCAGAAGTACTTTTTGGTTTCAAGTGCATATTGAAATACATAGAAAATTATCCAAATCTGAAAATAGAAAGTTAATAGCCATATTAAAAAAAAATAATATTTTCTGGGTGTGGGTGAAAAGATAAATGAATATCCATGAGATCATGGATATCCTCTGACAATTTTCCTTCAAAAGGTAAAATGTGTATCAGATGCTTTCAAATTTACCTGTGTGGTAGGAGAAAAAGGTGTTTTCAGTACATGCTCATAACAGAACATTTCATTTTTGTTGACTTTGATTCTAATTATCTTTATTGCAGCAGAATTAAGTACCTTTCAGGTTTATGCCATGGTAAATCCCATAATATAAAGATACCATCTGCCAGAAACATCAGCCCTGGGTTTTAGAACAAGACTGACAAACCTCCAACTGGGATTTTGAAAGGAGTCTAAAGGACTTGGGCATAAAATACTGATTTTTCAGTGGGTTAGTCCCCCCAAACTCATATTTATGTTTTTTTCAGCGTGTGAAAATTGGACTGAAGTGATCATTTGAGCAGGCAGGGTTAAAATTTTGTGTACATAAGCACTAATTAGTGAATATTCCAGTCTGTTCTGTCCTGAGGCTGTTTTTTCCTCCTCTCCACTATGTGTATATTTGGTTTTACTGTTTTCCTCTTCCTCTGTGGTTTGGGTTGTTTTAAATATTCAGTTGCCAGTACATCAGAATAAGTTGAGTACTTGCTGTATACACTATGTACAATGATATTTCAATATTCTAAGGGGGGTTGTTTGTTTAGTTTTTGGGATGGGTTTTTGTTATTGTGATGGTGAGGTTTTGTTTGTTTGTTTTTTGTTTTTTTTATTTATGTAGAATTTCAGTGCTGATGCCTGGCTGTTCTGGCATTAATTTTCACTTGTCAACTACTTCAGTTTCCTGTTGCTTGCATTACTTGTTTTGTGTTATGGCAAATTCTAGTTCAGCATCTTCAGTGCTGACACCAGTGCCCGTGTTCTCTCTGAATTTATAGCACTCCCTTTGGGTCTGTGCTGCTGACTCAGCTTCTCCCAAGGAGCCTCCTACTGAGTCATCAGCCAACATTGTTGCACAGTCTCTTATCTAGACCGAATTTCTGACTTTTTAATTGGCAACAAGACTTTTATTCTCTTTGGTTTTTACTCTGTATTTTAGAAAAAAGCCCAAACAACAGTGCGAGACACAGAGAGGGAAAAAAAACCACCTTAAACAGAGTAGTCCAGACATTCATCTTGTGTCAACACAGCAGGCTGGGGAAAAAACCCTGTCAGAAAAGTGGAGCAGCTTTTTTTTTTGGGTGAGTTCCACACGATCCTGTAGCTCAGAGAGCAGGAGGCACCAAAAACCATCATTAAGAGCCACGAGCCGTGGAAACGGGACCGGCCCCGGTGGGACGGGAAACCACACGTTTGGCTCGGTGACATAAGGAGCTGGATTGATGAACTGGGGCTGTGTTCTGCTGGCTGATTTCCTGGCAGGGTTCCAGCTGGGATAATTAACATCCTCCACCTAAAAATGTCTGCAGCAGTCGCAGCTGGCTCTGAGGTGCTCCTCGTTTCCTGCCCTGTGCTGCTGTCGCTGTTCTGTTCCACTGCAGGCAGCAATTCCTGCCAGGGAGACTTGCTTGCCACTGATAGGTGTGCACTGTGTCGTTTGCAAAATCCTTTGGAACAAATGAGAATGCAAAGGATAGGTAGTGTTAAGGCTCTTGTTGCTTTAATAATGTGGGAGGGTGGTCAACAGTTTCGATTTACAGAGTTGGGTTCTGAAAACGCAAAGAGCAAGATGAAAATGCTTTGTGCCCGAAGCTCGTCCCTGTGTAATTATGTGGGTTTATATATCCCATAATGACTCCATAATAGCAACGCTCTGTCCTCATAGTTCAAAACCATCTAAGTGTAATTATCCAGTTGCTGTGCCCTGGAGTGCTTTGCTGTGTGGATGTTTGTTCTGGTACTGGCACAGGGTTGTGTCAAAGATCTTCCAGAGGGGGACAAGTGAGACCTGGCAAATGTGGATGTTTGTTGTTCGTATCTTCTTACACTGGGGTTGGAACTGGATGATCTTTGAGGTCCCTTCCAACCCAAACCATTCCATGATTTTATGACCACGAACCCTGAAACTGCAAAGCCTGGGAAGTGGAGGAAAGTAAAGAAGAACTCATGGGAATAAAAAGTACAGTACATGCTACACTCGGCAGTGTAGGTGTCTTAATGCAACTGGTCTTTTATTGATCATTAGAGAAGAAGAAAATTCCCTGGGGAGGAGAGATTCAGGTTCTGATTGACACAAAAATCTATCAAGAACTGCAGGTCCGTCGGGCTCAGGTCTGATTAAATTTATTAAGAGACAGTCTGGGATGCTGCAGAAAGCAAGACAAGGAAATACATTGTATTCATGTAAATTTATTCTATCAGTTAAATGACTTTGCCAGTGTCTATTTGTAGGTATGTGCTAGTGACTTCCTGCTTTTAATGTAATTTTCCTGGAAGTTTTCTGGCATATGGCTGAAACATCCATTAAAAACATGATTTAGTCCAGCAGCTGGTGGTTGTGTTTTAAATTATTTTTTTTTGCATTTCAAGCACAGTCAATACGACTTCACACCATAATTTGAAATGTATACTTCAATCAAGGGACAGAAAGTAGCTCTAAATGTTTTCTGTGTTTGAAGACAGTGTAGAGTTGAGGTAGGCTTAATTTTTTGTTCATGTAGATTTATGCACGTTGTAGAGAAAGAATATGACCCATGTACTCTGTGAGTATCAGTGAGCTTGAAAGCGTGGAGGAACATCTGAGACACAAAACTTTCTTGGCAATTTTTTTCTCTCTGATGGAACCCACTAAAAATAATATTTTTAGTGCCTCAGTGCTTTTAGTTACCTAGTTTTGAAAACTTTTTAAAGGGTGGTTTTAAAATAAACCCTGTGAAAGGTTTTCTTCCTTACTTCTTCCCTCCTGTCTTCTTCAGTGACCTCGGGAGAAAAGCAGGGAATCTGCACCTCTCAGGTGGTGGGAGCAGCCTCCAAAATACACACATGGGAGAGGCTAGTTGTTATTAGAATGATTTTTATTGCTATTTTAAGTTTACTTGATTTCTTGTGATTTCAATGACATGGAGAGAGGCTCATTCTGCACTGAGACTTGTAATGCCAGGTACATGCCCTTAAAACTGTCTCAGTTTTGTGATACACAGTATTTTTTGAGGCTGAAAACATCACCCCAGGCCAGGCAGTTTGCATTTTAGGAGACCTTTCCTGGTTGTGCCGTCTTCTTTCAGTCAGACCTTGTTGGACCAACAGTTCCTTCCCAAACCCCCGTCCTCGCAGTGCCACGTTATCCCAAATCTTTAACACTCGCTGCCTGGAGGTCTTGGCTTTCCTGACTGAAGAATAAAACCCCTGCTGGGATTTTGCCTTCCTTAAAACTTTTCCACTCTTCTTAGAATCTCTTTAGGCTTTTGGTTTCTGCCTTCTAATTAATTCAGATTTGTGTTTTAACTGCATTAAAAAGCTGCAGCCACCTCTGTTTCCCAAGAAGTCCCCTGCTGCTCTCCTCTATACTCCTTTCCTCCTCCTTTTCTTTGCTACCTTCATATCATTAGACACTCACTTTGTCTTCCTTGTGACTCAGAATTTCCTTGAAATTCTGGAATTTCCCATCTCACGGTGTCTTTCTGTCTCACATTCCCTGTTAACCCTTCTCACTTCTGTCTCCTCATACCCTTGTCCTGTCTTCGCGTGAGGTCCTTCTTGTCTCTCATGTTCAGTCATGGTTTTGAAATACGAAGTAGAAAATATAAATACAAATAAAATGTCTTTCCTTTGTTGTTTCTCCCCCCCCTTTACTTTAAAAACTTAGTTTGTTGTCGTCGTTTTCTCTATCAGCAGATCCCACTCCTCTCTGAGTCCTTCCCTGACCCTGGGAACCTCCTTCACATTTCTGTTAACCCATCTTTCTGATCCTACTTAGTTTTGTCTATTCTGTCACTTTTTCCCACTAGATTTCCTTCCTTTACCTTATATACATTTAAGTCCAGGGTATGAGCATCTTCTTACATAGTGTGTTATGCCTTGAGATCTTGCTTTCCTGGGAGAGTCATCTGCCACACACAGGCTTTCCAGGATTTACCCAATCTGTTCTCTCTGATGTCCTTTGGACTTGTAAAAAGAAAAAAAAAAAAGGAGAGAAAAAGAAAGAAAGAAAAAAAGAGGTTTGTATCCATTAGTTTCTAAAAGGTTTCCTGGAATAGTTTGGGTTTAACACTCAAAATACAAATAATCTGTGGTTCATTTGGTCAATAAGAATTCAGCTAATGGCTGTGGTTTGCCCTCTCTGTCTCTCTGCTACTCCTGCAGCATTTTCCCTACTTTATAAAATATATAGAAGTCAAATTACTTCATGAGGATGTTTCTGTAGAGGCCATTAAAAGACTTGTAAAAATACAACTCTCACTTGAGGTGGGAAAGGAAGAAGTTCTTTTTATAGAGAAAGCAAATGATGAGGTATTGT